GTGACACTAAATTTTATCTCTCTCTTTAACGGTCAATCCACAAAGAAATCTCAAACGAGTATACCATTTGACTTTGCTAGAGTTTAAAATGTTCGGTTACATCCGAACTTAGCCCTTCCTTACTTGTTACATATCCGTTTATGCTCGTTAAAGAGTACGAAAATGTGGGCATTTCTTTATTCAACTCTGCATTTGACAACTGTTATCTTGTAAATCTTTCTGCCAGCGATGCGCAGTGTTACGCGAGTGCTCAACAAGTTTTTGAATTAAAATACTTAATTTTTTATAAATGAACAAACATTTTTTATGAGAAAGATATTTTACAAGTAAGGAAAGTCTAAGTTCAGTGAAACCGATCATTTTATACTCTCGCAATTTTTAATCATTAAAGCCAACTAAATTTAATATAATGTGTATATAAGGAAAAGGTCAACCAGAGAACCGGAAATCATTAAATCAGGGATATGAGGTTCAGATCAAGGCCTAGGCAAACTTCATTCATATTCAGCGTTAAAGCGGTATCTTTAGCAAAAAGCAAATTTCATTAAAATATCCAATATATTGATCAATATAGGCGATTTAAAGTCAGCTGGAAAATAGAAAATCACTATCTTCAAATCTAAAATATTAAATGTATATATGTATAAATAGGTAGAAAACAAACTGAATGACTGAAATTGGTATAAGAGGTATAAGGGAGCTAAAAGAAGTATTGACCCGATTTACGAAGTAACTGGTGTTTTTGTTAGACGTATGGTTTTCAATGAGGCAATAGTTTTTGCGAAGTTGGTCTTTTTGACAGCTGTTACTGTTTTTATACTCAGTTTGGTTTGCCATTTCATTACGAACAGACTTCCCGAACAACGTTTGCAAATTTTTTACCAAAATAATGGGTCGTTTCGCGCGACGCACCGCGGGCTCCGTCCAACATTCAGTCGACATAATAGCCCAACAGAGTCGATAATTCGAGCAACCATGGATCGGTTTCGCACAACGTTTACTCTAGTGAATAATGCCCCTGCTCAGAGATGCCGTACAGAGCGCACCGGAGTAGAGTAACCAAGAAGACCCGAATGAGTCTATCCGCCTTCGCGCGCAACTATCGGTTTGTGGCCTTACAAAATCCAACTCGTGCAAGAATTGAAGCCGAAAGACCATCAAGTGCGTCGCACATTCAGTGAATGGGCCCAAAACGAGATGACCACTGATCCCGATATTCACAAGAAAAGCTCACTTGACTCACTCACTAAAAGCTCACTTATAGTTGAATGGGTACGTTAATAAACAAAATTATCGCATGCCTCTATTATTGAGACGCCGTTACATCCAAAAAAGTCACTGTTTGGTGTGTTCTATGAGCAAAGGGAATCATTAGTCCATGATTAATGACGTTTTCGTGCCTGAATTGGAGGATGTTGCTGTGGACGACCTTTGGTTCCAACAATACGGCGCTACATTCCATATAGCCAACGAAACAATCAATTTTTTAAGGAAACTATTGTTGAATGCATTATCTTGATTTACCTCAAAAACATAAAGCTCAAACATACTTTAGAATAATGACTCAATGGACTTTTTTATTGAAATGTTTTTTTCAGATTAAATTCGAATGCATTATTTCAGATATGTATGTATTTATAGACATACATATATCCCACATAATATCCGATTTTTGTAGAAGTTAATTAATCTAAAAGAAAAACATGAAATTTAGTTAATACTTTTTTAGTTTGCCGAGTTTTCTGCTAAAATCCTCTAAAACAGATTAACCAGAAAATTTTCCAATTTATATTTTGGTAATTATAATTATTTTAATTGGGTTGCTGTCCAACGCCACGTGATGAAAATACACACTATGCGACTCCAGGATACCGAGTTGAAATGTCCCAAATATCAGCTTCGTGTGTACGTGTGTTTGAGTGTGTGTGTGTATGCCAACGTAGAGATAAAGACACGTCATTGTATGACTGCAAACTGACAGACTTTAAGATGAAGGCACAAGTGGATGAGGGTGATAAAAGCAAACGACGTTCAAATGAAGCAGGCTGAAAATTTTTAAAATTCAAAAAGCAAGGTGCAAACGAACTGCAGTCAATTCGTCAAGAAAGTCAAAAAAGAGCGCCTGTTCAGCCTTTTACATCCGTGAAGTTTTTTCGCAGAAAAGAAGCAGCTGATTCAACCCAAGCAATTGAAAGCGGAATTTTTTTTAAGGTATCTGAGAAATTACATGCCTGAAGAAAAAGGCGTGTGCAAAGTTTAGAATGTCTCATAATCTGAGGTACTAGTTCGCATGTATACAGACAGACGGACTGACAGGGCTGAATCGACTTAGCTCATCATGCTCAACCGCATCTCTACATACCCTTTACATTACATTCTCTGTGATCACCCCGCATACCCTTATTTTTACCCGTCCTCCGGCACCTAAGGACTTAAACTGGCGCAGTGCGACAGTTCGTCGAAATGGAGTTTCACTAAGCGTGCGCTGGCAGTACCACCTCCACCGTCCACCAATAACTATAGTTTACATTTAATTTTATGAACTTGGTAAAATTAAGTACAGACACTTTAATAGCACTAAGGTATCCGAACAACTAACTGTTAAATAAATTTGATGTATACACATTTTGTCAAAGTTCAAGAAATGATTTTCAGAAGAACATTCATAATTCTAGACTTATAAAGTGATTTTTTGTTCATCGGCATAGAATATACTTCTAACTATTCAGAAACCCTGCTGTTCTGAGTATCGGTTAATCGTGCAATTTGTTTTGTATTAAACATCAACTAACACGTTTTCTTTATATATACAAACTCTGGCACATCGTTAGAAAAATTGAGAACACAGTTACAAACCGGAAACCGCGAACATTTCCTATATAGCGATGTTGTTATTGTAAAACGGCTTTATTGTCTTCACAACAGATAGTCCAGGAATCGACGCGGTTATTCTGAACGTCGTAAATAGGTTTTCGCATAATTACTTCTTTGAGTATTCACTTCTATTTCCTTCTCTGAAATCCCATTAATTCTTTCTGGGCCATTTTAGATGGTTTTGTGAAAGAAGCCAAATTCTCTAACGAACATTATTGCCTAGAAAACGCATTTGGACCATTTTCCTCCTTGTATGTCCTCCCCCATTAATGGAATCGATCGGTTGACGACAGGACTATTTTAATGATTTGAAGTTCCCAGTTTTCTTATTTTGTTTTAAATGTGCTTAATACAATAATTTCACTAGGCCACAATGATTCTACGTTTCACGGTAATTTTTTTCAATATTACTGAGAAATGTTTCCAGGTGTTTATAATTATTACCTCAACAACTAGTCGATCAATATCAACGATATTTGGTACATATTCTTGAACTCATATATATTACAGCGAAAAATTCCGTTTTCACAATAAATCAAGCATCAAATATTGCCACCTCTTATCTAAAAATGGTTGAAATTGGATTATATTATTTCAAGACCCCAGATATCGAATTTGAGAACATCAGTACCTTTACCTGACTTTGTGCCGAAAATATACGTGAATCTGTTAGATATCTTAATGAATTTAAGTGGCATCATTTCCTGAAAATATTATGTTCTGGTGCTAAAAATGGATAGAATCGATATACTTTCTCCAACATGGGACTTATAAATTTTCCTTATAAATATAAATTCCTGTTGACTTTATATTATTTATATCGGTTAATATGTATAATAGGTATTGTAATGAAATACGTGATCATGTTTTCTTGACCGCAGCATTGGAATAAAATATATACAGACTTTGTTCTAGCCTCATATACCTAATATAATGATTTTGCTCCTCTTTGTAGTCATTTCCCTTACATATCCAGTTTATTTAATTACGTCCCCTTGCCTGAATTTAAATCGCATATATCGGCATTAGCGCAAGATATCTCAACAAAATTAAGCGAAAATATTCTAATTAGTTTTATGTCATTCGGTAGAAAAATAAGTAAAATCGGTTTTTCCCACAACACTAATGTTATCCATTCATAATTTCGTCGTTTAACTAATACTGAATCTACATACATACTTACATATAAAACATTTTTATGTTCTCGCAATATGTAGCAGCAGAGCGATAATAGTGCTCAGCTAAAGGTTGCCAACACTTAATACTAATCGAGATAGATATAGAGTTAAATATATATAAATGATACATCTGACTAAACATGCAAACGAGAATAATGCGAGTTTTATTTCAGGAGACATTGAAATAAACGGGGAGACAAATGTCGAAAACATATGTTATATTCTATTAAACCCCTTTTGTGAGCTTTTCCTATATTATTTCCCAGTCGACAATCATCTTTTAAGGACCAGCACTAATCTGCCATCATGTGACGATCAACCTTGATACCTTTCTTATATCACTTTTAAATCCTCTCCTTTTTTTTCATAATAATTTCCAAAATTATCCGGAAATTTCTCTAGATAATAGCGGAGATAGTCTAACTTGATACTCATATTTGCTCACAGAATCTGAAAATTTGTCAGCATATTTTGAACAATTTCCTCATAATTTGGTACTTTATGGTTATCTAGGAAATTTTCGACTATCAACACACAACTTTTCCGCGATTCTCTTTCCAGAACAGTCATAACTTAGATAAAATCTGTAACTATCATTAATTGCTGTTTTAAAGATTCCAGCATTCAACTTTCCCACGTCTACCGCTTTGATAAATTGCTTTATTATTTCTAAATTTATCACGTATTACATCACTGAGTTCATTTTGCGAAAATAACTTTGGCGTAGATGTTTCACCCTCCCATTTACATCCAAGCGTAGATATCTGAGTATTTGGCGACCTCATCGTTTTTTTTTTTGAATGCGAAAGCAAGATTTTCAAGGTATGCATTAATCATAAAAACAAGAGCACATTCAATAATTTCAGAAAAAAATTCGTAATCTGGGTATTTGAAAACATCAAAATTTGCTTACATATCCAGGGCAACATTTTTTTTAAAGAGTGTATATACCTATGTATCAACAAAGAGAACAACTTTATTATCTTTTACCATATTATTCAACATTTTCGCTTTTGTGCTTAACGCATAATACATGAACATTAATATATTATAATATGTATATGTATAAATTTCTAAATCAAAAACACACCACGTCGTTGATATATAAGGGAGCAAACATATCCACACACTTATTACGTTTGCACCACACAGCACTTAGCCACTTTATTTCAAGGCACATACGTAAACACTTTATGTCCCTCATAAAGAAATTGAAATTTTATGTATATAAACATTTCAATTAAATCAAATGTAAATATATATAAGTACATAAGGATCCAAGTTTTATTCCCAATTTCCACAAACACACATATTTGAAATCAAATGTGGTCGATGCTGAGTAAAGAGATGGAGTAAATTTAATGGAAATTGTGAAGGAAACTTGTATTTGAACTATGCAAATCCTCATGATTTTTCGTAAGGATATCAAATGAATATTTCAAGGTTACGGTGAAGAATAATTTTGTTATTTCCGTAATTCTAATTTCCCAGTTTCTATGTTTATTAGTATGATAATGGAAGAATTTCTTTAAATTTGATTCAACTAATACAGTAATCAAAACCACATTGCGAGCAGAGACGGTTTCCAAAAAGTTGCTATAAAATATTAAAACAGAATAAAGGGGAATGAAGTGTGCGCAACTGACATTGCAAAAAAGCTGTTGACAGTAGCAAATCAGCAGTTTAACACCATTTAATTTTAACTACTCGTTGGTGTTTATTGTGATCGTTTTGCCTTTAGGATCATCAAATCGGTCCATGGTATTGATATCCATCATCCAGCAAATACCAACGAAAAGAATTGCAAGCAAAATTGCGGACACGAATAGACCAGCAAGAATGGCATGTGTAACAAAACCGACGCAATTCCAGGATTCACCAAATTCAAAATAATTTTCATTTACAGTCTTAACGGTACTACCAAAAGGTGCTTGAAACTGTACAGAGTTCCAAAACAGTTGATCACCGCTTGCTGAATAAACAGTTAAATTACCACAAAAGTAGGAGAAGGCCGGAGGTGCATTTATATCGTTTGTGCGGAACACTGTAATATTATTGTATGTCAATTGCTTCATGTAGTAATAACCCTTCTGTAACTCAATGTCAAATGTGATCAAGTCAGCAGTATCATTGCTACTAAGTGTAACACTAAAGTCGGTGGTATTGCGATCATCGATTTTCATAGTGCCCACAGTAATTTCTTTCCTTTGGTCACTACCAATTTTTACTGCCAACGTTGTATAGAAAATTTGGAATTTGGGATCAGTGAATATAATACCACCTTTTGGTGCTGCAGTCTCCGCCACGGACAATGCACGCCGATAACGTTTAACTGTCACATCTTTTGCAGGGATCGATGTATACATAAATACAGTTGGACAAGATACTTGTTTCATTACATTCGAAATGGCAATGTCTGAAAAAATAATAAATCTCTATAAAAAAAATGTTTAATAGAACGAAATATAAAATATACCATGTGTCTCCAAAGTATCTTCGCGATTTACACCACTTTCGTCACTGAATCGCAAAAACGCTACTTTTCCCGCTTTGCACTTTAGTGGTGTTTCAAGCTTTCCACTTCTAGAGATAATAATTACCTCGTAATTAGGATCTATCTTTTCCAGCACTTTTTCAGGGCTATCGACCCTCAAGTAAAAAGTGCTGGGCGTGATGTTTTGAAGGTGAGAATAACATGACTGTTGTTCAGATCGGTTACTCTTACACAGAAAATCGTTGAACGATAACTAAATTATATATGACTCATAACAATATATTGAAATGATTATCTATGAGGACACTTACATCATCTTCTTGGAAAACAGCAATCATGTGGTCCTTAACAAGTGGTTTTGCAATTCGATTGAAACTTTCATTATCTACTCTGGATAGTGCAGGAATTGGTTCACTATAAAAGATAATAAAGGTTAACAGAGCAATTTTTTGCAAAGATGTTGAATTCATACACTGGTGCCAAAACTAAAACAATGGAGTCCGATGCGGCTGCAACACCAATCACGAATAACGTTAAAAAGGCAATTTTCATTTCGTTTTGTTTCTCTCGTATACGTGTCACGCCAAAATAAAGTTAATGCAATTAATATTAAATTAAAATGCAATCTAACCGAAACTTAACGAAATTATAAGGGAATTAATGGCAAAAATTTAGCAGTTTTCACCTTCCATGAAAATTTGCCCTGTCAAAATGCAAAATTCTTTGTAGCTGCGTATGACAGTCATGTGATATATCCGAATGAAATATATCTTCGAATTTCTTAATTTCGAAACGATACTCGAACTCGTGACGTTCAGAGTTGCACATAATTCCTGGCTATATTGTAGAAGAAGCAACCGATTAATATTGTAACGAATGATATTTATGCAATAAGGTCTACATAAGCTGCATTGTTCATGAATTGTATACTTCTAACAGCCTTATAATTTATGATCAGCATATTTTCCAAAAGATGTTTTGTAAAAATAGAATACTGACAATGATACAATATCATTCCTCTACAATGCCATAGTTCTGGTGCGAGTTGATACAACAAATACACTAACCATACCAAACTTAAACCTATATTGATGAAATGATGTTAAATCATTTTATAAATTGTCAAACCAGTGAGTTTTTATTGCAGTTAGATGCATTTCAAGTTTTTATAACCAAAAACAAACCTTTTTAAGTTCTGGCAACCTCGGTTGTTATCAGCCGTAGAGAAGTGTTGAAATAACATATAAATATATACATATATGTATATCTTCGTCCTCGGGTTACTATTACAAAGGAAGTGTAATCAGAAAAATTGAAAGAGTATATTTAAATTTATTTGTAAATAGTTACACATATAGTGCTGTACACAAATAAGGAAAAGCGAAATGTTTTGAACTCGGCTATTTTGGGATTTCGATATGCGCATTCAGAGAAAGTGGGGTCGAATGTTAAAAAATAATTGGAAAAGATTTCGACGAAGGCGATTGTTTATTATATTTGGTGCAATACTACTTGCTTTGATGTTTTTTGTCAGAGTAAGTACTTATATTCTATTTACATTAAACTAGTGCGTCAATAAATGCTTTTTATTTCAAGAGAAAAAAGTTGGTTAAGACATATTGTGAACCCATCGACGTAGTTTATACTTGGGTTAATGGATCTGATCCTATGTTTAGTGAATCAGCAAGGCGGTATAATCCGAATTATGATCCGGCAAGATTCGATGACAAAAATGAGCTTCGCTATTCGTTGCGATCGCTAGAAATATATGCTCCTTGGGTTAGACATGTTTACATCGTAACTAATGGCCAAATTCCATATTGGCTAGATCTTAGTTTTGAAAAGGTTACGGTCGTGCCGCACGAACTACTTACTCCGAAACCAGAACTACTACCGACATTTTCAAGCTCTGCTATTGAAACTTTCATTCATAATATACCGCATCTCTCTCAACGTTTTCTCTATTTGAATGACGATATTTTTCTTGGTGCTCCATTGTATCCCGAAGACCTTTATACCAATTCAGAAGGAGTGCGCATCTATCAAGCTTGGATGGTACCGGATTGTGCGGAAGACTGCCCTTGGACATATATCGGTGATGGGGCATGTGACCGTCATTGTAATATTGCCAAATGCCAATATGACGGAGGCGATTGTAACAGTTTCGGGTCAGACAAAAGTGAAGAAAATATGATGGAGCATCATGTTGATGTAAATAGGAACCTAAAATTAATTACGCCATCTCTTTTAAATTCAACAATGCACATAGAAATAAGACATTTTCCATTACGAAAAAAGTTTCGCCACAGAAAACATTCGGATCAACGTAACGGGTCACACTTCCGAGAACTAGTATTGCACAAAAATTTGAGTACACTTGCGGAGCTTAGACGTATTGTCGACAATTATAATAATCAACTGAAATCAAATAGTCACCCCAATGACCCAGAATTATCCACTGACACTTCACAAAAAAATATGGAACGATTGCAAAAAAGCGTGGAAAAAACATCAAAAAATGAATCCAGTAAAGATATATATTCGCATTCGTTAATATATACGAACATGCTGTTGAATCGTTTCTATGGATTCAAAGCTCGTAACGTACTAGCGCATGTAGGATTCTTGCTAGATCGTAATATAATATATGCCATGCAGCAAAAATTTTTGACAGAGATAGACGTTACTTTGTCTAATCGGTTTCGCTCAACAAATGATTTACAATTTGCTTTTATATATTATTCGTTTCTTATGAGTGAAACAACTACTTTAACAGTGGGTGAAGTGTTTGACGAGTTCGATACTGACGACTCGCATACATGGTCCGATCGTGAGGTGCGAACTTTTTTGGCACGTATGTATCCTCTGCCACTGGACTGGTCAGCAGTCCGTTTCTTCGAAGAAGTTGTAAGCAACTGCTCTCGAGATCAAGATATGAATTTACATAAAAGTCATAGCGGGTATACAACGTTGGTGTATGAACGTTACGAAGATTCAACTGTGGTGAGTATAACTAAATTAAATTATATTTAATTTTTAAACAATTTTAATCCCCACGCATTTATAGCCGACTATAACACGAGAGTTGGTCAAACAATGTCGTTTGCTGGCGGAAGCGTTAGAAACAAATTTCGCTACCCGAATCAAATACAAATATAACATAAGTCCAAAAAGAGTTATCCATAACAATTTTATGATGTTAACATCTAACATCACAGATGTTGTAGATGGTTTTGACAAAATACGACGAAATCCACGGTGAGTTAAATAATCCTAGTTCATTTTGAATAATAAACTTATATGGCATAACTTTAGAAAATTCAACTGCATTAATGACAATTTGGAGCCACTCTTAGTCAAAGATAATGAACTGATCCGTCATTTGTTGGAAGACTTCTATCTTTCCTTTTTTCCTCGCCGAAGTAGTTTTGAATTACAATTCGAATATAGGAATCGCTTCACCACCTGGCAGGATTACCAAAGATGGCGTAGACGTAAGCGTGCTGCTCTTGTGGTAGGATATGCAGCTAGTATTATTCTTGTTCTATTTATCATAAGATACATATGCGTACACAAAACAAAGTTTGTACGACGCTATGTGCAAAGTTTATAAATATTTTTAGTATTATATATTTTTTTATATGAATATAAGAGGAAAATTTACTTATGGCTTTAAAAAACTTAATAAAATAAAGAAACGATGATTTAACAGCCGGTTTAAGAAAACCCTTTTATGTCTGCACCCAGACTATGGTATGAGGTACCCCTTTACGATGAACCAGGCTTAGGGTGCGTTCGAGATACGTAATAATTGCAGCAGTACAGCTACTGTGTTACATATTTTCTGATACTCTGCTGATGTGCAGACAAAAATTTAGTGTTGCCGATTATTTTCATAAATGACAGCAGAACGTGATGCTGTTGCAAGTGTTGCCAAAAATTCACGCAGCACGTGATACTTTGACAAATTTGCAACACTGCTGTCGTGATTGCTATCTCGAACGCACTCTTATTCCATTGTATAAATCTATACAAAGCTTATTCTTAATACAAATACAGTATATATACAACAAGGAAGAAATTACCATGTTCATACGTTTCCAATTTTTTCAGGAGATGAAATATATACGGTACAAAGGCTCTGTGCCAAACGATAGAAAAATCAAAATTCTGACAGATAAAATACAATTTTTTTTGACGTTTTTCGTGGTGAAAGCGAATGCCAGAATTTTACCCAGCTCCCAAGCTAAATAAAATTTTGACAATTTATAAATATGAATAGAGATACGCATTCAGGAATAAACGAATTTAAAAGAACCGCTGTTATTAATTCGTAATTATTCATTTGTTTATATTATTATTTATTCCATTCAATACAGAAATGATACTCTAAAAAGAAAGATACTCCTTTTAAATTCTTATTATTTAGCCGATATATTGCAAATTAAAATATAATAACTAATTAAGATGAAAGAATTAAGTAAAAATTATATTTATGTAGTTTATTAAAATATCTTAATGTAAATGCTTTTAAGTATATAGAACATGCATAGTGTATCGAAGGCAAGTAGCGTGTTAGTAACGTTGCCTAAAGTTCTCAATTAATAACAAATCTTCAAGTTAATAAATTTTTCCTAGTTTCATTAATATTATTATTAGCTATCAAAGTATTTGCCTTTAATTTAATTCATTTTACGAATATATTTAAGAATTTAAATAACAAGAAAATATTCAAAGAACGCAATTGCGTTTGTTTTGAATTTCAACTGTCAAAATTTTATTTCCTTTTGGGACAGCAAAATGTAAATTTGTTTACATCATAGGAAATTTTTTCACCCCAAATCAACACAGAGAAAAATGTTATCGTTTAGCACACAGCCAAAAATTTAAATTCTGACAGATAAAGGTGAAATTTTGACATTTTTCGTGGTGAATCTGAATGTCAGAATTTTACATAGTTCCGAGCTAGGTCAAATTTTAACAACTTATAACAATGATTACAGATATGCAATCACGATATCTATTCGTAATTTTGCATTTATTTATGTTAATATTTATTGTAATCAATAAAGGAATTATATTTTTAATACGGAAAGTTCTTGCCTTCTTCTTTAACTTTTTTATTATTTAGATAAAAAGTAAAAATAAAATTTTTGTAGTTGATTAGCATATCTAAATGTACATTTATATTTGTAGAAAGGTCAAAAAAACATTTCAATTGACTAAAGATTGGATAAGCTGCAAGCCTTAATTGAAGTGTATGGTCCGCTTTAGAATATCTATATGTATGTACATACATACATACTTGTATGTCGGGTTGTAATGGAAATATTTAAAAATCATTTATTATTTTAACATTTAGTAGTGAGATGTCATAAAGTACAAAAAAAATATTTAATAAACTTGAAATCAATAATATGGTCTCTAAAATAGGAGCTCCATTAACAAAAATTCAAAAATTTGGGAGTTTGAACTTTCATTTTTCAAAATTGATAAACTTGCACAAATTTTGTTAACTTGCTGGAAGACATACATAAAGGATGTAATATAAGTATGTATGCATTTCAAATGCAAGTAGCCTAGTAGTGAACTGACTCGTTGCCTAAAAATCTCAATTAATATCAAATCTTCAAATGAATTCATTTTTATAGTATCATTAATATTGTAATTAGCAAAGCAAAGTTTTTGAATTTAATTGTATTCATTTTGTTAATATATTTAATAATAATTCAAACGACGCAGTGACATACAACCAAAAATCTGACGATCGGATTCACCAAAAAAAATTT